ACATCATTACATCACACACGTTAGCAGGTGAGTAGACATCCATGGCTCCAGCCTTATCAAAATATTACACTTTTTTCTTTTCCCGAATCTTTGCCACGAACAGAATGTAGATTATAACTGTATATAGCCGGACCGCGGAAGTGGCCTAATTAGATAAACTACTGGGCTAAATATCAGTTCTGAGACGCAACAGGCAGGTAATATTAAGGTGTAATAAACTCACATGTAATCAATGGTAATTATCCTAACAATAGAGCGGTCTTACATGTCATTGTTTCTGGATTAAAAAAAGAGTGTGAGTATACCCACTTCTCCAGGGACCGCTACGCTACTGCTTTCAACTCAAACACAATCAAAAACCTAAAAGCTTTCATTAAATCTCAGCCAGAGAAATGCTAATTTAAATCCTCCTCAGTGCAGATTTCAGGATTTAGAGAAGAGAACTTTCAGCTGGAGACTTAGAAAGGGCTGCAAAAACCACAGAAGGCAGAAGTTAACCTTCCAAACATGCACATCCGTGCCCTCATGGATCTAATTTTGGGTTGTCTAATTACATCTGACCAATGCTGGATGGTAATCCTGCTCTCTGTTTTCTTTCAGGCCCCTCCTCTCTTCTTCTAGATGAGGCTCAGATGAAGCGATGACAGAAAAACTGCCCTGAAGAGGTGAAGGAAGAGAAAATGAAGCGGCGTTAGGATGCTGCAGGTTTGGCTGTGAGCAGATAAGAGTCAGACGATTGTTTCAGGTTGACCTCGTGCTATTCTACACTCAACCTTATAGCTTTTTTCTTTTTTTTGCATTATGCAATGATGCTGGAAGGATGAACGCGCTAACAGAGAGATGCACGTGAACCCACACACGCTGAAGAGCCTTTTCTTCTTCCCTATTCACAATGCATGCTGGGATGGAGCTTTATAAGGACTGGGGATGTGATGCCTTACAACCCCCCCATCCCTGAGCATATTTACCTTTAGGGGATAAATTTCTAGTGCCCTCCTTTGTAAACAAGGAGTAACTTGTTTTTCCTCC